CATTTTTCCTGCAACTTTCTGCAAGTTCGTGTTAAATCCTGTAAGTTCATGGAGTACTGGATCACAGCTAGTATTGAGTGCAGAAACGAATTTATTTTATATAAGTGCACATGCCACTCACTTCAACTTTGCTCAAGCTACGCTGTTCAGGATGTTGGGGAAATGGTTCTGGATAAAGAGGATACACGAACTGAAGGAATTTCAGGACTACTGTTTGATAAAACCACACAAAATCTTGTTCATATCTCAAACACGATGGATTGCACTAGAAAGCGTTGTGTTGAGAATAGTTGAGCAATGGGATAGTTTGGAACTTTATTTTATTTCCTGCTTTCGCGTTCTGCAGACCTGGCGGAGGGAATGTATTGCAAAAACAAAAGCTATTTTTTATTTCTATCGTATATTTTGCCCATAAGTAACAATCTTAACAAAGAGTTCCAAGCTGAAAGAGCTCTCGTTTGCCATACTTATATGCAACTATCAAAGTATAGTATCTCTTAATTTGAGTAACTTTATTAAAAAAGATGCGATCAATACCAATATTAATATTGATTTTAAAAATGAAAATAGTCATATTAAAATATCTGACGTTTTTGTTGGAACGAAAGCTGAGATGTTTATGAAAAGTAATGTCAATTCTGTCATGATTTCTATAGCACGTGTACGCAGGCATATTCAACAAGGTAGAAGTGACAATTTAGTCGAGCTCTCTCATACCTGACAGTTATGTCAAAAAATGTAAACAAAGAAATAAACCCTTTGTTATGCATTTACCATATTTGATCATTGAAATGAAAGTTTTTGTAAATATGAAATTATTTAAAATCTCATTAGAATCAGCTTAATGAAACGCACTCATTTATAAAACCGTTTTGACAATTTTATTGCTTTTACTATCCTAATGTTTTTGAGCATTTATTTTTTTATTCAAATACTTAATTCTTAAGTATATTAGACATTAAAAAAAAGTTTGGTTCTTCTAAATTTACATCAGAACTTAACTTCAAAAATTTGGCAATTAAATTTTTGCTATTCGAAATTTCCTTTCCATTCAATTTATTAAAAATTACTTTCATTTTCTTTATGTCAACAAGGAATACTGGTTTAGGTTTTATCAGACCACTATTTGAAATTTGGCCTATCCATGTATGTACATGAAAGGGAGATTTTCTTTTCATATTCGATATGATAAATTCTGCACCTGGGACCAAACGCGTCCACTTAGAAATACTCGTCTGCGATAGGCAACAAATAAAGTCACGACCACACGTGAAGAGTCTCCTAATGTAACATCGCAGCAATTTGCCCACCGTTGACAATTCGAAGGTTTAAAATAACGCACAAGTTTGTTGTCCAGGCTCTTGACAAACACAACGCACCGCTCGAAATTCCTTTTCATTTTATGTATTTAAAATCAGTCGCACAGCTCTCAATTGAAAATTTATATAAAAAAAAAAAATTCAATAGTATAGGGTTAAGAGTTGACATTTCAGTCGCAGTTCAAAAGAGAGAAATGTCGAAATCACTTCTACCTTGTTATGCCTTGCGTGTACGTACGAGTGTGTGGTTATTACTTGATTTCAAAACACATTTGGTTGAATATCTTTAAGCATTTTTTCAAATTTCTTCATCAGTGTTGTTAAAATAAATGAAAAATCTTTTTTGCTTCATTTGGTTCTTGATTTATGATAAATTATTTCATTTCTATTTAATTTATTGACAGATTTTACAAAGCTAAATTACTTGATTTCAGCATGATTTGCTTATAAATTACAAATGAGTCGTAGATTACGATAATGTGAGCATACTTTTACATAAGTTTTTGGACCAAATAAATTTAAAAGCATGTTCACATTATCGTAATTTATAGCTCATTTGTAATTTATAGGCAAATCTTGCAGAAATCAAGTAATTCCGCTTTCTAAAATCCGTCAGTAAATTAAATATAAATGATATAAGTTATCATAAATCAAGAACCAAATGAAAAAAAAAAGAATTTTAATTTATTTTAGCACCCACTGTTGCGGAAATTTGAAAAAAATGCGTAAAGGTAAACATGTTAATCCCATAGCTATAGAAATGATGAAAGAAAACGTGAACTTACTTGATTTATGTGAAGTAATTTGATCGAAATAAAGTAAATTATGCTGTAATGTGAATATAGTTTAAGATTTGATTTCAAGCGTGAAGATATAAAACTTTTACAAATAATAACACCAGCTAAGGTAGTTTCTAAAGAAGATTTACCAGTTTTACTTCTTTTGTTAAAGTTTCCCCTCTGCGGCTGCAGAACGCAAATTTTCAACGCTTTCTTTGATAAAAACTAAACTAAGAAATAAACTTAAGATTGACAGTATTAATAGCATAATGTTATGCAAGGAACTTGTAAACAAAAATGACCCGCACTATGTGTTCAGCTGCTACAGTTTTGCATGTGTAACTAGTTTATTTAAATTTACTTTTAAGAAATTAAACTTATTATAAAATCTATCGCATAGTCACGAGAAAAAATTGGGGCTATTGGAAAAAGAGGCGTGGCACTTCCATACATAGAGAATTTTTCATACTGCAAGTCTCTGAAAGTATTCATGGTAGAGGACTAGAACTTGGTATGGAGATACATAAAATCAACCGCATACTCATGAAGAAAAATTGCGGCTATAGGGAAAGGGGCGTTCACCTCCCATACAAATCGAATTTTTTATACTGCATATCTCTGAAAGTATTCATGGTAGAGTACTAGAACTTGGTATGAAGATATATAAAATCAACCGCATCCAATTTTTCATACTGCATATCTCTGAAAGTATTCATGATAGAGGACTAGACCTTGGTATGAAGATATATAAAAACAATCGCATAGTCACGAGAAAAAATTGGGGCTATTGGAAAAAGAGGCGTGGCACCTTCCATACATAGAGAATTTTTCATACTGCAAGTCTCTGAAAGTATTCATGGTAGAGGACTAGAACTTGGTATGGAGATACATAAAATCAACCGCATAGTCATGAAGAAAAATTGCGGCTATAGGGAAAGGGGCGTTCACCTCCTATACAAATCGAATTTTTTATACTGCATATCTCTGAAAGTATTCATGGTAGAGTACTAGAACTGGGTATGAAGATATATAAAATCAACCGCATAGTAATGATGAAAAATTGGGGCTATTGGAAAAAGGGGCGTGGCACCTCCCATACAAACCGAATTTTTCATACTGCATATCTCTGGAAGTATTCGTGGTAGGGTACTGGAACTTCGTACGAAGATATACGAAATCAATCGCGTACTCATGGAAAAAAATTGTTGTTTTTGGAAAATGGGGAGTGGCATCTCCTATACAAACCGAATTTTTGTACTGCATATCGCTGGAAGTGTTCTTGGAAGAGTAATCGAACCTGGTATGGTGATACATAAAATCAATCCCATACTTTAAACTCTGCCATAGACGGCCCCAAGCCCGGTGAAACCCGTTTATACCCGTTCCCAAACTAAGGTAATTGAAAGCGTTCCGATGGTTGAATGGTGCTGGGAACTGAAACATGTGCATCGCAAGTGCATTTCCTTTGTGATACCGGGCGCCCTCACATCATAAACAGCCTTACCATCACAAGGGAGCACTGGGGCGGCGGACCGACACCTTCTTCCCATTTAAAAAAATAAACTTATGGATGAAATAACAATTGAAAATAAAAACAAGTAAGAAAGTCTAAGTTGGGCGGAGCCGAACATTAAATACCCGGCGCAAGTATTAGATAGATGGTAAGCCGGGGTGTATCAATTTTGAGTAAATTAGCGTCCTTAAATTTCGAAATATTGAAGTTTCAAGCATTTCTGAAATTTACCGTTATATGAAAAGCGGCCGTAATTTTAGTAATTTTCAGAGTTTTGCTTCTATGTGGCAAGTACAATAACCACACCGAGTTTGGTACAAATTGGTAGAACGGTTACCGAGATATATATGTATGATCATAAGTGGGCGGTGCCACGCCCATTTTCCAAAATTTTATCATAAACGTATTTCTTGATAAGGAATTGTTGCAAGCATCAATTTTGAATACACTAGCTTCAATATTTACCGATTTATCGAAGATTTCGTATTTCTCTAAATTACCGTTATATGTGATGTGGGCGTGGTTATTGTCCGATTTTAAAAATTTTCGGCCATTTCGTAGGTTATGTCAAGGCCACCAATTGTGCCAAGTTTGGAAGAAATTGGTCCAGCGGTTACCAAGATATACACATGTAACCATAAGTGGGCGTGGTTACGCCCATTTTCCAAAAATTTATAATATTCTTATTTCTCGTCTAAAACTTATTGTAAATGTCAATTTTGAGTGAATATTCTTCAGTAGTTACTAAAATATCGCAGTTTTCGTATTTCTGAAAATTACCGTTATATGGGAGGTAGGCGTGGTTATTGTCCGATTTTGCCCATTTTCAATACCGTCCGTCCTACGACAGAAAGAAGTGCACGTACCAAGTTTCGTTAACATATCTCAATTTTTACTCGAGTTATCGTGTGCACAGACGGACGGACGGACAGACAGTTACCGCTTAATCGATTTCTCTTTTCATTCTGATCATTTATGTATACATTTGTCTATATCTATCTCGATTCGTTTTGCCTGTTACAAACAACCGTTATGTGAACAAAGTTATAATACCCTTGTGCACAAGTGCGCTCGGGTATAACAACATCATGGAGTCAGAGGAACTTTCTCTACTCCGTTCACCCACTAGGTCTGAGAATGACCTTGAGCAGAGACTTAATGCCTCACTCAGGTTAGACTCACCTATTTCTACCACTATTTCTGCGTAACGTGATTAGGGACTCGAAACAATCACGTAGGGCGATAGCCAGGATCCTGGCACTAAGGCGTCTACGAACACTAGTGCTGAAGAAACAGCGGAAAACCGAAAGAAGTTCGAGTACTTCGCGTACAAAGCGTAGAATACGTGCTTTGAACAGGGACGGCATTGAACCTACCAAAGCGAAGGAGATGGAGAGAGAGCGCTACAAGAAGGTCAAGGAGCTAAGGGCCAACGACGCGACAAAAGAGGGACCTAGCTCCTCGAAGCGAAGCAGATGCACCATCTACTCGCCCAATGACCTTCGGCAGTCAGCCAAGAAGGCTAAGGCCTCCCATACAACCACTTCTCCAGTGGAAGTAGTTACGAATCCAGGTGTTCAGGACAATGAACCCGACATGTCGAAGCAGGTGTCCTACATGGACATCACGGCGGCATGCAAGGTTGCCATTACTAATGCCAAACACCCGGATGCTAAGCTAAGCGAGGAGGAAATCTCGCTGATAAGAAGTCTGCTCGCAGAGATGGACAAAGCCAAAAACCTCAATGTGAGTCTTGGGTTCATCAGCAGTGTGGTACGCGATGGTTGGCTTTCGCTCACTTGCCACAACAAGGAGACAAGAGGTTGGCTCGTTGCTGTGACAGCTGGGCCGTCCCCAGGCGCAGATCTGAAGGTGTCACAGGGCAATGATATTCCCATGACCTTTGTCTGTGTTGCTAACGTGCCACCTGATGACGCATTACCGGCGGACCATCTTATGAAGCGCCTAGCCACACAAAAAGTGGCCATGAACTTTGCGGGTTGGCGCTTTATAAAGTCTCTCAGGGATGAGAAAGGGGAGAGACGGTAAATTTCTCCGTGGACGAGAAGCCAAAGGAGAGGATTGCGGCGTAGGGTGGAAAAATCTTCCTCAACTTTGGCCAGATCTCTCTACGCATAGAGGGGGACGGGCCGACAGCAAGTCACCTATCGCACAGAGACAGCCAAGGAGCAGCAGCCCAGGCATCTCGCAAGACCCACTGCACGGAAGTCCACGATGCTCCGTCTCGGGACCGTGCGGAACAGGTCAGGCAAGGCGATAGCGCTGATCAGGCTAGCGTCAGTGGCGAGAGCGCGAAACCTCCCGCAGTCTCCTCTACCCTGGAGGTGTCTCAGCCACCAAAGGCAGGCAAAGGCAACACCCATGCCCGCTCTACTAAACTGGCGTCGACACGTACACCCAAGGCAGGCAAAGGTAACACTTCCCATGCCCGCCCAACCAACGCTGGCAAGGGTCCACACTCGACTCGCCGCTTACATGGGACGAAGCTCCAGAAGTGGATGAGGAAGAGTAACCAGCCGGATGACTCGAAAAATTAATATGGTAGTAAGGTGCATCCAAATAAACTTACAACATGCCAAGGCGGCTTCAGCGGTCCTGGCACATACGTTTTATGAGGATCACCTTGACATCGCCTTTATCCAGGAGCCGTACATTTATGGAAACCAGATAAAGAGACTACCAGGTAAGCTATTCGATGACTCCTTCAACAAAGGACGACCTGGCGCCTTCCTGATGATAGCTAATCATATCAACGGCTTTCTCATTCCAGAATTTACCAATAAGGACCAGATTACAGTTAAGGTGAGCCCATCTCTCGGAGAAAACACGCATGAGCTAATAATTTGCTCAGCGTACCTCCCCGGCGACTCCAGAGATTACGAGTTTCTGCCACTACAGGGACTAAATAGTGGACTATTGTGGCAGACATAAACTCATCGTGGGATGTGACGCTAATGCCCACAATAGCATATGGGGCAGCAGTAACATAAATCAAAGAGGTGAGTACTTACTTGAATTTATTAGCCTTAATAGGTTAGAAATTTTAAACGTAGGTAACTCCCCCACATTTAGGAACAGTATACGGGAAGAGGTTCTAGATCTCACTCTATCCACTCCTTTTTTCAATAATTCAGTAATTCAATTCAAAAAATGGAAAGTGGCCAGAGAAATTTCTCTATCAGATCACATGCACATCCGTTTTGAAATTGAAATCACATTACCAACTGCTACCACCTACAGAAGACCAAGAACCACAGATTGGAATCTATACGATGCACTTCTGCAGGACGGTCTGAAAAGGTGCAAGCGAAAGGTAAATGACTTAGTTGATTTCGAACTTAGCTGCTCAGATCTGACATCAGCCATTGTGAATTCCTACCATGAATCCTGTCCAGAAGTCACTAAGCTTAACAACAGACAGACTCCATGGTGGAATAACAAATTGGCCAAACTTAGGGCAAATACCCGGAAGCTCTTTAACAGAGCTAAACGAACCGGTGATTGGGAAAGGTATAAAATTGCCCTCACCGAGTACAATAAAGATATTAGATGTGCTAAGAGGAACTCATGGGCTCTTTTCTGTACAGGGATCAAGGACCTACGGGAAGCGCAAGAATCCACAGAGTCCTCGCAAAGACGCACACTAATGAGTTAGGGCTCCTGAAAAGACCCGATGGATCCTTAACGAACAGCTGCATGGAATCCCTTAACTTGCTAGCCGAGGTGCATTTTCCTGACTGTTTGCCACTGAAAACAACCATAACGATCCACACGCAGACTTGGACAAAACGCCCACGCGCAGAGGATTGGAGAATCGCCAAAGGTCTGTTCGACGAGGATAGAATAATATGGGCTATATCTGCCTCAGCGCCTTTTAAAGCACCTGGAGCGGATGGCATATTCCCAGCTAATCCCCAAAAGGGACTGCCCCGACTACTACCCTTCCTGATACCTCTTTTCAGAGCATGTTTCGCGTGGGGTCCCTTCCACTACAATGGCAGGAAGTGACGGCCCGCTACATTCCAAATGTGGGGGGGAAAACCAGCAGACCAACTAAAGTCATACCGACCCATT